GTTTATGACGGTGGGACTGATCTAGAACAGGATGATCACGGATCTGAACCGGTTGAATCTCATGACTTGCGGGTCTGCCGCCTGCTCCGTTGCGGCACCTGCCTTCAGAGGCAGCGCAAGTTATCCTTCCGCACACGATTTTTGGCTCGAAGCTGGCGTACTACACTCGGAAAGTTATATACTGTGTAAAATTAGATCTAGGTGTAAAACCCACGGACATTTAAGCGCGAGAGTATTGGTTCGGGATAGAGCCGGTATTGGGTGCTATGTATCAGCCCAAGACCTAATTCTTTCTTCTAAGGGAAGACTCTAAGCCTATGAGGCAGGGCCTAGCCGTGAGTAGTGTTTAATCATCCAGAGGATGTTCAACAGAGCGGGAACGAGTCATGGATTACCACGACTGCAAGACTGGAAAGACAAATAGGAAGTAAACAGTTCGCCTAGTAAGGTCCTGCCCAACCTTGTCTCACGTCGTCCGCCCGTATCCCCAGTGTTTCACATCTCGATTTCTTCCCTGAACGAGAGGAGATACCTACTCGGCCAAAAGTCTTCGCTAGTCACTACGCGGTCGAACTAGACGGCAAAGGTACCTTACGGTAAATCTGTGATCTCCCGTCTGGGGGACGCGCCTCCTTGGGTCGGCACCCTAAAGTCGTGATGCTTTAATACGCTACTTACACTTCCCAGGCCTAACGGTTTAGTGTAGGGGGATACTGTGTCGGAGTGGCAGTGGGTTGGGAGTTACTTGCCGGGCGCGAGGAAGACACCAAGAGTACGGGATTATACGAACCCTAACACGAACAATAACACCGCAGAGCTTAATCTTATGACTGCTAGGGTGTTGGGCGAGATGTGGTGGTGGCCGGTTCACGCCACAAAATTGCACGTATGTTTGTCGACTCTCATCGAACCAGTTATGTGCCTGGTGCTTACTTGAGGGTTTAGCAACATCACTAGTAAAGGGGTCCAATTCATGTTTCTCGACCTGTAGACCGCCCCACCTCAGGACTGGACATAAGTTTCGTTTATTGTGATAAATTTCGCTAGAGACGGATGACACCCTTTTCCAGGCAGGATTTGCCGTCTATGAATGACTTGTTCTGTATACGGCATCCCAGTTTTTACAAGCATTTACTACAAGGAGCACGTTAAATGAACCCCTACTTAGCCGCTGAGACAGCGCAGACTGTAAAGCGGGCCGGTGGATAATCACGCAGCTGTGCAAAGACGTCCAATAGGCTAGCAATGTCAAACGCACTTGAAGTGAATCATTAGCTTAATAATTATAAGCTTGTTGTAAGCCTGACGTTCGATCCCAAAGAACGCCGAACCTAGTACCGTGGCAACTGAGCACCCCAGTTAACACTATTCCCAACGCCCGACCCGTCGCCCACCCAGGCGATTCTTTTTTTAACTTACGTGGACGCAGCTGAGGATGCAAATACGTCAAAAAAGCCTTTCCTGCAGAATATTACCTAGCATCTTGTGCAGATTCATGGTAACTTGGGGCTTATCGATTTCGTAGACTACATGAGTGTTAAGCCACGTAAGCCTGGAGATGGCTAAACGGGTTGCCGGATCGTGGACTAGCTACCCTCCTACGCAGTGCATGTCTTATTGGTCCCCCATGATGACAACCCCCGGGTCTAAATTATCTCAGCTAGTAGTGAGTCCTGAAAACTTGGCTATATAGAGGGTATGATTTCCACTCGATATTGCAATTAACCGAGATTTGAACCCATTTAGTCCCTGTACCGGATTGATAGTATAACCCTCTCTACCAGTGCAGATTGGAGACGCTAAGGATCGAGAGCCCCTTACGTATTTCTGTGATTATCTGATATCTCATTACACCTCGACGTGGATGTCCTGGCGTTTTACCAGCCAACCCTTTGCGGGGCTAGTCGACGTAGAAACTAAAAATCAGTTTTGCTACTTTATTTTCAGCAGTCTTCATCGACGTAACCTGGTGGAGGTCACAGTAGTCGCCGGAGTGGAACGGTACCTTATGGTGCTTAGTCTAAGCATTCATGGCGTGACGAAGGCCGGACAGCGGCAGTTGGCCAGACTTACGTTCTTTGCACGTGATTCCTGCCTTAAAGGTTAAAATGCCACAGTAAACGAACGCAGCTAAATTCTGCTACAACAATAATGCGGGCAACTGTTATTGACACGATCGAAAGGGGAGGTGTGGTGTCAATAACTCATGAAAGCTAGTGAGAACCTACTGGGGGGCATATTGATGGACCAGTAGACACACCACTGGCGGCGACATTAGAGTCTCCACTACGAACTAAAACAATGAATGGCGCTCACTTGCCAAGGTCGCGCCACTGCACCGCAATCGATAAATGGACTCACGCTCATACGCCCGTCCCAGGTTACCAGCGACCGAATAAGGAGACCTTATGCTTGATGAGAGTCGATCAAAGGGTTGCCAGCAGCATTGGGACAACGGCCACCCATCCTGGAGGGCCGTTAGAAAGTCAATGTCTGTCGTCCTTTACTTGACTCAAGTTTCTAAAGAGAGTGCGGGCAAATGGATTTCAAGAGTAACGGGAGCAGACCTGTTATGAAGGGCTTGTAGCGATCAGCGTTAAACATCGGCATCCACTACACCACCCGGAATACTGCTGCCCGCGGATGGGCGTCACCTCGAGGTTAAAACTCGTCAATACACTAATAACCTTTTGGTTTCTGGGATCAAGCGTTACACCTCTGGGCAGGAAATGCAATTGCGTAGAAGCATGCTAAGAAAAACCATTCCCTACAGCTCTATTTTCTACGCCCCGCTACACGTGGAGTGCGTATACGTCAGTTCGATTACGATTCAGCCGCCGGGCCGAAGATGCCATCCCTAAAAACCACGGATAAGGTCACGCCCCCGTATGTGAATTAAATTAGCTTACTAATAGCGTATTGTCGCGACCCTGTGACGAAATTTAACTCGGTCCTATCTCCAGACTTGTGCGGGGCTGCTGGTCTGACGTGTGTAAGGAACAATGAAAGATCCAACATAGGGCGTACCGTGTGGCAGGCATAGTGTCGGACTGCACGGCAGCTTTTCAGATAGGCAGACATCCACTTTCGGATATTACGGGCTACGTTGAGACTGTTTGTTCCAATCGTAGATACTTTCCTGTTCGGGCGGGTTTGTCGTCTTTTATATACTTTACACGCATCGATCAATTGGCCGCGAATGCCAAGCATGATGAGAGGGATATGTTGTCTCGATAGTTAGAGATCGAGTTCCGGGTATAGCCCTTGTTAATCCGTTTTTCTGACTGCAGGGACTGGATATACTGGCTTTCCTTCGGGGCATTTTAAATAATTTATAGACTCAAGCGGTAAACGTTTCGGCCGTGCCGCGATTTTACGTCGTTACGGAGCGCCAAAGTTGGAGCACTGAGAGCAATGTACTTCTCTTGGAGAGCATCTCTCAGGCATGTGAAGTTGGATTTTAGGATTGGCGCCTTCGTTTGGACGCAGTTAGTCAGATGATCTCGATCGGGTACCGTTGTTAGAGTAGCAACTCTCTGAAGGACTGATTGTATATAGACGCACGGACCGTGACTATGAGGGTTGGCCTTTCTTTCTCATGCTTCGTGACCGGACGGGACGGTGTACTAACTTATTGTCGAAGATAAAACGATTGCGATACGCAGGCAGAAGTACGGGCGGCCGTGTTGCCTGACTGCTTTATCAACTCGACGTTCCGCTGTTTCGACAGGCTCACTGAGACCAACTAGCCTGAAATACAATTGGATAGTTACCAGAACCTACGCACTCTGATTCGAGTGGCGCAAAGCGAAATAAGCCGACGCTGTAAACAGCCGGAAGGTGTTTGTACAGTCCTGACGCTAATTAAGTAGCCGTGTTGCGGACCATTGAGCCATACTGTAGTTATGTACACTCTATTCCCCAATACAAACAATTGCCTTGTCATTCACCAGTCTCTGCTTGAACCGATTAATTAAGTCAAGGAGCAACTACAAATGCTTTCAGCGAGAGTAATATATCTATCGGGCAAGGTAATACAGACGGTATGACAGCATTTCATATACCTACTGACCGTATTAAGGATTAACGTCGTATGTAACGAGATACGAACGAAGGAGCCATAACTAGCTAGCTGGACTGTGAGTACCTGGTCCGACGCACCTCTAAGTCAACGATACGGTCTCAGCCAAACCGAAGCAGTCCCAACCTTGGAGACTTCCCAGCTTGTACATCCCTAGCATCTTTTCCGGCAATACAACTATCCTGTGGATTACACCAACGCCAATAGATCGGAGTTAGTTAAGCTGCAATATGGTCTCCCTGCCCAGGTGAAGCAGCCTTACGATTGCTATGCCCCCGCTCTCGAGTGACATTGAGTTTGCGTAATACACGCCTCTGAGTAATGCGTTACCTTCATGAGGACTCCTCCATGAAAGTGACCCGCCGGCCGGGGTGGAGACAGTCCTCTCGATACATCCGCTACCCCCGGGTCAGTGCGATGAGGTCGCGAGGCTCAAATTAAATAGCATCGCGAGAAATTGATAACTCTGGATCGTTTTACCCGTATTAATTATCTTAGCTTCACTATTAAACCCTCAGCACTCCCTGCTCTAGGTACGCGGTTAGGACACCTGCTCCGACTGGGCATTTAAGTCGGTCTATCAACAGAGATTTACTCTACACCTTCCTAGGTTCTTAGTTTCGGACATAGGCTCCTCGATCATTACCCTCGCACAATGCAGTATAAGCACCGTATATTGCCACAGGTTCAGCTCTCGGCGCCTCAAAAAGCAATGGGGTGCATCTGACCGGACACAATTTAGGGACGAGCCGGTCCTAGTACCGCATGATAGAGCCTCGAGCTGAATCGGGCGCAAAGATCAGAATAAGCCACTAATTAGCTACTAATACAATATACGTGGCCGCTTCAATTCGAAACGACGATAACGAACCTACTTATCGTCCAGCTAGTTGTTAGTTGCGACGTATCCTAGAACCAGATGGTCTTCATCAGGGCCGTTCAGCTCCTCGAGGCATTAGCACGCGAGATTCACAACCAAGCACTAGTGGAGAAAATCCTACCGCTGTCCTCCCGGGCGGAGTGCAGGCATCACATTAAGTTCATAGTCGAATGGCCTCAGGAGTACCCGCTCTTGTTAGCTATTGGTCTAAGCAGTAGTACACCCCGGGCAGTTTGCGTACTATAACTCCTCTTCATGCCCCTAATGTTGTCTGTAGAATGTCAGCGGGTTGGAGGACCGCACCTCCTAGTTATGACATGACCAAATGGATTAACTGATTTTATTGATATTGCCTCATAGTGGTCATTTTGAACTCGTGTGGTGTCTAAGATACAGTCAAGGAATAAAAATAGTCAAGCCGAAAAGACGCACTTCACCTCCGGGCCACCCACTCTTCTATCGTTTCTGCTCAGCGGTTCCCTTCAGCTCCGATGTGGTTTCCCTTTATGTATGTGTGTTCCTTCCTAAGTCTTTGTATTGTACAGAGACGGTGCACATGAGTTACCGTTCACTTTGCCAGATTACTCTTGCAAATGACTCATCTGGCTCTCTTTGAATTCTCAGCTGGTTTAACAAATTCACCAGATACTTGGTTGATCTCGAACGCTGATGGGTGCCGCCGTGCGCGTGTGCTGCCCCTTTCCAGGTCTGCCTGTGCAGGTTCGAGACTCGGCCCTGGCCCTCAAGGACGAGATGCCCAAGTCGGACGTCAACAAGGAGTACTACACGCAGAACATGGAGCGCGAGGTATGTATCTTGTACTTCTTTCTCACTGTGCGTAGCCAGTTTAACACATAGGCCTTCGCGACCAATATCATCCATTATACAGGTTTTTTGAGTTACATCATGATGTAACCCAAAAAACCTGAATTATGTGCGTTGCCAACTGCACTAATCGGAGGTAGCCCTCAGGGCGAGACCCACAAGCCCCGTGGCCCACGCGACCTCCGACTCTGCTGTTCGTTTATTATTAATGCGGGTCTGCATCAAAATACATTGTTGTACTGCGCTTCTAAGCTCCCCACCTTTAACAACTCATGTGGTGAAGTACGGTAAAATGTAACGCATTGTACATTAATATAACGTTTTACTCCAATCAGGTGGTTGGTAACCAATGAGGTTCGCTACTCTATTAACGAATGTTTTTCTTTATTTGCTCGGTTTGCCCTGTTTGCCTTGTGTGTGCCACCCTTTCTCGTTATATACATAAATCACAAGTGACGGAACATACACGACTTGGTGTGTCCATCTTGCGCGTAACGATCTCGTCGTCACCCGATGAACTGACGCGCCGCCACATGGCCGTTACGGGAACACGGTGACAGTGCCTCCGCCCTTCTCTGTGACCCTGCGACCCCGCGTGGCAGATCCAGAACTCTGACGGCACGACGCCCGTGGGCTCGCTGGGCAAGGCGCAGGCGCCCAGTGACATGCTGCTCAAGCTGGCGCGCACCACGCCCTACTACAAGCGCAACCGCCCGCACATCTGCTCTTTTTGGGTGAAGGGCGAGTGCAAGCGCGGGGAGGAGTGCCCCTACCGGTGAGTGCCGCCCGCGTGGCTACGACGGGCAAGAGCGGTTGGGCTTAAACAAAACAAGTGACGAGTTTTCTCTTGAGTTGGCAATCGAGTGCATGCCTGTGCATTGAGCGGTGGCGCAGTGGTTATCGCACCGCACTACGAACCCTGCGACCCGAGTTTGATTCTCACTCGCGACCAAGAACATTTAAGCAGGTCCCGTGCCCTCCCCTAGGTTGACTCGGCCGTAAACGAGTACTTGGTGCAATGTGTAAACACCAGCACTGGGTAGCTACAGGCGGCCGTGCGTGGTGTTGACCACCCATCCCCTCGTATGTCGTGCCGGCCTTAATAGGTGCTCACTAACAGGCTGAATACGGTGGTTCTTCGTGCCGCGCGTGTGCCCGCCATGTGCTCCCCCCACAGGCATGAGAAGCCGACGGATCCGGACGACCCCCTGGCTGACCAGAACATCAAGGACCGCTACTATGGCATCAACGACCCCGTGGCCGACAAGCTGCTGCGGCGTGCGTCCAGCATGCCGCGCCTCGACCTGCCCAGCGACCGCACCATCACCACGCTCTACGTGGGCGGCCTCGACGACTCCATCGGAGAGACGCAGCTGCGGTCAGTCGCTCGCTCCCACTCCACCAACGTGTCCCCATGTGGTCCACCATCCTCCCTTCCTCTCTTCTCGCCCACTACTCCGCCTGGCACTCTCACCTCCGAGCACTCCCGTCAACCAGTCCCACACAATCTATCTGCCTCCCTCTGCTCTCTCCTGCTCCACCTCCCTTTCCTATCTCCCCCTCCACCTGATTATCTGTCTCCTATCTCCCACTCTACGCCTGCCACACTCTCCTCTCAATTAATTCTCCTCTCAATTAATTGAGAGGAGAGTGTGACATCACTGCCTTCGAGCCATATCCATTGCCCTTGATGTGTTGAACTTTCGCGTTCATTAAGCTCTTTTTAGGGTGACTTAAAGAAAGGTGCTCTATAGATGTAAAATAATATAATAAGAGTTAAAAACAGTCTTCATCATGATACAATATGTTTATTATTTGGCCTGCATTTTCCATTCAGCTTTTGCTCTTTGGGTAAAATAATTTGTCAATAGGTATTGGGCTTTACCTTTCAATCTGAACAGGCACTCATGTGGTTGGAGTACCTGACTTGCATTAAAGAGCCGACCTCCAAACCATGGACCGTTTTCCTTCGCACTGCCCGGGTTATTAGGCATGAAGGCGGCTCTCAGATGGATTTATTCACAGTTCACCAACTCTCAGACTCTGCAATGGAGTGGCCATATCTCCATAGACTCCAAGCGAGTCTCTCGTCATTGGCCGTACGAAAGAAGATTGCAGAGTGAAATCCGGGTGAGGATTCGATGATTTGCAGGGGCTGTGGGTTCCCCGCTCACCTGCCCCTCCACTGAGAGACGGAGGGCGTCGGTGCTGAGTTATCACGGTGGCTTTTGTCGTGCACAGGAACCACTTCTACCAGTTTGGGGAGCTGCGCAGCGTGACGGTGGTGCCGCGCCAGCAGTGCGCCTTCGTACAGTTCACGACACGGCACTCCGCCGAGCAGGCGGCCGACAAGTCCTTCAACAAGCTCATCATCAACGGGCGGCGCCTCAACATCAAGTGGGGCAGGTGGGTCGCGCCGCCTACTCCGGCATGTGCCACTTCATGGTCGCATGACCTCCCCCCGGCCTTGTCCCCGGAACTCTGCGGAACTCCGCTCGAGTTCGCCACCGCGCAGGCCCTTTGCGGTCGGGCTGCGTCGCTCTCCTGACTTGCGTATTTTTTGGGTTCCTGCCGCCGCGTGTTTGTGCTTTGCGGCGCGATGGCCGACGGTTCTCCCCACGTGTTGTAGGAGCCTCTTCAGGAACTGAATTCAGAGAGAATTGGACAACCGTGCCGAGCAGGACTGTCCGAAAAAAATTGTGATATTCATCGAGTCTTTTCTGGATCTATAACAAACACATGCCAGGATAGAACACGTAACAGGTTCTGTTACTTGTTCTTGTGTTTTAAAGCACTCTTTGTTAATAGTAAAATGTTTAATTGACATGCAGTGCATTAAAACCGACACATTTACAATTGTTGGCGCGGGTCATCCGTAACTGGTGTGTATGACAGTTAAAGATGTTACCTGCTTAGATAAAGGATGTCGGCGTGATTGAATTTACACAATATTGTGTGGAGAAGACTGCGGGGGCTGGTTAGTGTCGTGCTCAGGTGACTGTGGTGATGGGCCCCTGGTCCTGGTCTCACATTCGGAAGAGAAAATGAGTCACATTGGGCCCATTTTCTCCTCCTGTTCCACCTTCAGGTGGATGGATACAAATCTTAATCTACTGTTCCACAAGACCGCCCGGGCTTTTCACGTGAACGTGCTTACAGACGCGCGAACACTGATGCGACAGACGTCGTCAACGGCCGAGAAAGATTGCGCATCCACATGCCATTAGCATCCGTTAATTAACACGCGCTACATGTTGACGACTTTCTTGCGAAACCGCGAGCTGCAATTGTCGTGCATTCGTTCAACTTCCTGAAGTGCTAAAACTATAAAACTAAACTTTTTATTTTACCAGGTAAAGCCCGCTGAGCTATTAGCTCATTTTCAGAAGTGACCTGGCCACAATTGATAGCCCAATTAAGTGGCTTATCACGTGGACATTTCTAGCAGCCAAATACTCGTAAGCCCTAAGCGCACGTTTCTAAATGTGGTGGGAAAAAACAGAGGATCCGGGGAAAAAATTCACGTGACCACGGGGGAGAACGTGCAGACTCCAAATATACAGCAGGCATCAAGGTCGAGATCGAAACCACGACCTACTGTTTTCCAGGCGAGGTAGTTAACATCTTGCTGCCGCTTTGTGGCGGCACCGTAGTTTAATACGCGGCCGCAATCGATGAAGCGCTGATGCTGCAGAGCCGTCCTGTCAGCTGGAGAGCGTCAATAGCACGTTCATTATTCTTAGATTTGTTTTTTACCATAGTTGCTGAGTCCAGGCCCCAAGGCCCAAAACGCCGAGTGGCCGGCAACAGACGGCATACTCCTGCAGGGTTTAATCGTCAGCAGTTGATATGCGACGATGCCGCTCGGCGAAATGTTCGCTCCGCTGCGTCACGAGCAGGCAACATCCCGCGGTGCGGGCGCTCATTTACATCCTTTTCTTTGCCAAGTGAGCGGGAGCGGTGGCGCAGCGGTTGGCACACTCCACTGTGAACTCTGTGACCTGGGTTTAAATTCCAGCCAAGGCTAACATCAGTGGGGGTGATGTTGTGGCCAACCCACACTGAGCAGTGGAAACAAACACGTGTGTGTGTGTATTGTGATCTGGTGTGCGATAGTGTAGCGGTTAGTGTGCTGCGCTACAAACCCAGCGACCCGATTATTTGAAGCGGTCCTGGGCCTCCCCAGGTCGACTCGGAGTACCTCGTGTGATGTGTAAACATCGCCACGAGGCGGCTGGGCGTAGTGTTGGCCACACGCTCCCTCGTGTGCCGTGGCGGCCTTCATAGGTGAAGTGTGTACGCTGGTTGTGTGTGTGGTTAGGCTGTCAAATGCTTGACCATTGTCTAGTGCCGCCGGCGTTGTGAGCCCACTGACCTGGTTTCCATCCTGAGCCCTACCCAACACCATTGGCAATTGGTGTGTGTGTGCGCTTGATATGGGTGCCTCCAAGGTTGACTTAGCAAAAAGTCAGCACATAGCTACTACTTATTTTAGATCGGTTGCTTGCAGTGCTGGCCACTTCACCCGTTCTTAATGCCTCTTTAACTGCACTTGCCTCGAGCAATCGTATAGGGTGGGGTGGGTGTGATTGTTGAGTGATTTTGTGTTGATGTTAATCTATTCGCATATCTGCATTTATAATGACGTACACTCAACTGACTTTGATATATGCAGGGCTACGTTATAGGTAGCATGGAGGGCAGTGCAGTATAATCATCTGTTGTATTGTGCTACAATGTCTGTGCTCCCCGCCTTTACCAACTCGCACTGACCGGTGTGGTGAAGTATGGTCAAATAACCACTGACCCACACGGTGTGGTGAGGGCCATCATCCAACAGTGGATTTACAATGAGCTGTACATGTCGAGAAAGGTGTAGTGCTGAAAATGCTGGTTTATGCAACTGCTGGCGTAAGAGCTTCCAGTAAAGCAAACTTGGCCTACTCTTCTACATTGACCAGAACATGTTGGAAGAGGTGGATCTACCCACACTCTACCCCACCACGTGCAAGTGGCTTACTGGCTACCCGTGGTGGCCGATGATTCTCTCCACGTGCATGTACTTACGTGGACGTACACGACCGAGTCTTGGCTTAAAACCAGACATCGAAGTGCGTGACCAGAATCCTGATGGAAAATCCTTCTGCAGTGTTGGCACAAATTTGGCTAAAGCTCTGTTGTCACCGGCGCCGGCCAAAACCGGGTTTGGTGAGACTGCTGCGACGCGGGCTGCTCGCACGATGCGATTGCGCTGACCTGCCGACCTTGGTCAGCAGAATAGCGCGCCCCGTGTGCGGGCGGGCGGGCGGCACACAGACCCTGCAAGAGACGCAGCTCCACCCGGCGGGTGATGTATGGCGAACATGTGCCCCGGCCGTCTTGCGTTTCCGAATGCCGCTTATTTTCGGATTCCTGCTGACTCGGGAAGGCCGATTCGTTCGAATCTTGCCCCTATTTTTTGATATCGCTGAGCGGGGCATATTTCTTGCGCTTCTTATTCCACGGAGGTGCCAAGGGGGAGCTAACGCTGCGGCTCTGCCGTCGCTCGCCCCCGGCCGGAGAGTGGGAAATCATCGGGCCGTTAAGTTGTCGCCATGCCGTGGTGATGTTGGCCTGACTGGGCGGCGCTGTTGGAGCGCACATGCAGTTTAAAGGTCACGAGTGAAAGTATCAGTCTCGTTCGGTGTGGTCCAATGGTCGGGCGCGGGTCCTTACAATAAAGATGTTGCTCTGCGAGTAGTCGGCAGGACCCGATGGATTAAAACCTCACACGATTCACCGATTGAAATTAATTTCTGGACCTGGGATTCGTGCTTCGAATTGTCTTCATTAGCCATGATCTATCTGCCTGTTGGATGAAGTTCCTCCCCAAGTTGTGACCACTTCTCAGTCTTGCGATGAATCAAGCAAGCCATCTGACACCTGCACACGGGCCGGGTTAGTTTCATTGCCCTTTGTCATCGCATAATCACAAGCGGCTTTCCTTCCCGTCTTTCATCCCATACCGACCAGCATGGCGAATGATGGCCAAACAACCCCCATAACCGATACGGCATAGGAAGTCCTCATCCAGCAGTGTATTTATAAAGGGCTGTACATTATAGTTATTATTATCATCACAATAAAGGAAATTTCATGGGCAGGATTTTGAGACCGCATTAGATGTACACCATGTGCAAATGGATTTACATGAGACCCTAACCCAAGCGCTAAGGGACCAACAGGTGGCGATGGGTCTATTAGCGCGCGGTGCGTGGGAGGGGTCCATGGAATCTGCAGCACTCTGCCCGTCTTGCGCGCCGCTGACTTGGCTTCCCCCAATCACTTTGAGCGCTCCGCGACACGGCTATCCGTCACGGGCTCTGCGGGGGAGATCGTCCTTATCAGCTGGGTGCACACTCCTAAAAAGGCCGAAAGCCACCCGTGTAGCGCGACACCGGCGGGCCGCTTGCGAATTCCCCACCGGTGACGGCGGCGGCCGATGGCCCGGTCGCGCACGGGATCCTTGACACGACTGGCTGGTTACCGTTTTTTGCTCGGCAGAAGCTGCGATGACACCTTTGCGTTCCATCCCCCACAGCTTGCTGATCCCTCTGCTGCGGCTTCGTGAAATGCCCACGCGGGCTGTACCGTAACGTCCTATGTCGCCCGCGCTAATTAAGACTGCGACCAAAAAATACGGGGCACACAAGCGGCGTTTTAGTAGAGCCGTCTCTTACTGTGCCCTCCGCATAGCCTCATCGTGTTCTCCAAGAAGCGGTGGTTCTCCGTGCGTCAGTCACCTGACAATATTTGTCTTTGCTCTCATTGGAGCCGTCCGAGGTTGAGTTGTTGTAAAGGGTGACCTTCCTACATCTTCATGCACATGTGCAGATCTTTGTCAATGGACTGCTGCATGGGATCGCCCCATGCCGTGTGTGTCGTGGGGGTTTTTGTCAGCTTACTGCTCACTGGTCAGTGGATTTTGCTGCAATGCCCTCTGCTGCTCACTCCGTAGCCACACAGCAGCCTATAATACCAGTTGTTTGGTGGTCATCCTTCCAAGCTCTGTCCAGGCTCCATTCTGCTGAGCTTATAAGATTGGATGAGATGGGGCACATTCCAAGTGATTGGCTCATGGGCCACTTTTATCACCAAACTTAAAACTTGAACAGATTTTAACCTTTTTCCAGATTGCCGGTGGGACACGTAGCCTTCGTGTCCACCTGCAAACGTGCATTCCTTTTAAATACGCTAAACGGCTGAGTGAACTGCCCCCTCCACGACTTTTCGCGCACGCCCACCACGGAGCTCGTTCTCTCAAACGCCGCTTCCCGTTGAAGGAGCGCCACCCCCTCCCCCCCTCATTACCCTGTCCCGCCGGGAAGGCCCTCGGAAAACTTTACGGCCACGATAGCCAAAAATAAGACAGAAAGTGACCGGTGGCGACGCCATTGAGCGTGTCAGCGGCGAGTGACGTGTTGGCCAGCAGTTGGCAGTGCAAACAAGTGGGTTCTTCTATTTCCGTCATTTGTGTTGAATGTGCGCACAGATTTCCCTCGCGCTCGCAAAGCGCTCATTGCAAGACCAATCGGTCAAACATCCCGATGCTCGACCCTCCTGAAAAGGGAGTCTTGGGAGTCGATGTGATATGTACCGTTTTAATGATTCATCGTAACATCTGCTCGCATCATGTCAATAGCAGCCAGATGCTGGAGGTCTGAAGCTGACCATGTGGTGGAATATTTTAAGAGCAGACCTCTGAGAGCAGATGTTGACCACAGTTAATGTGGGAATGGGCAGTGGGAATGAAGCAGTGGTCTGATGGCATCGTTGGTATTGGCTGTGATGACCTCTTGACCTTCACGCCTGTCAAGTTTCACGAGCCGTTAAATGTCGATTTCTGTCGAGTTTTCAGATGTCCGTCGAGTGAGGAGTGTTCTTCTTGCTGTGTTTAATTGTAGTTTGTGGAACTCAATTCCCCGGGCCGCACGGTGACCAGGAAGATGGCAGCACAGCAAGTGTGCTTTCTCGCGCAAGCAAAAACGCTCATTCAAATTATTTGGCCAAACTTCGCAATGCGGACTGTTCTGAGAAACATCTTGTGGTTCAGTGACAATGTCATGGATTAAATTACATCATCATTGTCATCGTCTCTATGATGTGTGTGTTTCTCAATCTCTCCTCGCAGTCGCAGGGAGCACCGAGACCACGGGAGGAGATCAGGGCTGGCAAGACCATGACGGATACGGGTGCCAGGCTAGAGCCTGTACCGGGCCTGCCGGGAGGTACGCTGTTCATACAGCAGTAAACGGCGCAGCGTCGAACAGTGCACACAGACTTAACAGTACGAAGTATAGCAGCACCATGGCACAGTGGCACACGCCAGAGCTACACAAAGCAGAAGCACATTAGAAGGCGCACAGAGCAGCAGCGCACATCGCATAGCGTGACACAGTGGGTACGTGATGCGACAGGAAGGCTGCACGGTGCTGGAGCTGTGCAATGGAGTGAAGCCCGACAACGGATCTTTCTCTCTCTGCGCTCTCGTTCCATTCCCGCGTCCTCCACACCTGCAACCTCGACCGCTGGTCGACTCCCTCAGTGAAACTCCACCCAATGGGGAGGCCGCTCGCTCCATTTAGCTGTGCCCTCCTTTGGCTGCCACTTTGTCGTTAGTCTCGACCATGTGCAGCTCTTTGTCTATACACTGCTGGATGAGGGTCGCCGCATGCTGTGTTGGTCGTGGGGTTTCTTTGACCGTACTTCACTCTGGTCAGTGGATATTGTTGCACTGCCCTCTCCTGCCCACGACGTAGCCATACAGCAGCCTATCATACTAGTTGTGTAAAGTGGTCGTCCTTCCAAGCAATGTTCAAGCGCAAAAGCCTGCTTAGCTTCTAAGACCTGACGAGATTTGGCACTATCCAGGTGGTTGGCTCATGGGCCTCTTATCACCAAACTTTAAACTTGATAAGACTTCAACCTGTTGCCAAACGGCCCGTGTGACACTTAGCCTTCACATCCACCTCCAGCCGTGACTTGTCCTGCCCAAGCCCAATCTCTTCTGTAAACGGCCAGTGTGTTGTCTCTAATGTGCGTGTGCGTTTGTAATCCACATGTCACTCTTCCAATGACTCGGCGTAATTTGCTGCACGTGCCTCCCCACACTGCTTTGTACACTTTTCAGCTTTTGTTCCGATTTATGCTAAATTTAACTTTTTTTTTTACCAGATAAAGCCCACTGAGCTATTAGCTCTCTTTTTGGAAGTGAACTGGCCACAAAAGATGGTGACTTATCACATGGAAATTCATAGCAGCCAAATAATCTAAACGCATTTTCAGGGAAAACATGAAAATTCCAAATATACAGATGTCGGGGTCCGGATCGAACCCATTACCTCCTGCAAACCGGGCGAGGAGATAACATCTCGCCACCGTGGCACCCATACGTTGCATCACTGCTCGTTCTTAATTCATGCAGGGTTTTTCTTCAGAGCAGTTGCTGAGCACAAGGCCCAACAATACATCCCGTCAAACAGCCAGCAACAAACGGCTCAAGCAAAGTGCTGATAGATAAGAGTGAAACACTCTTCTTGAGTTAGGTTATTATTGTGATAAGAACTTGAGGAGAAAGAGACAATGATGGCAGGGAATTCCAAAGTGGAGCAGTGCGAGGGAAGACACAGAAAGGGAAGTGAGGTGACCTTGCGAGTGTGGGGAGTCTGCGGGTGAATGGATATGTGGGTTCGTGAGTGTGTGGTTAGTGCACTCTACTACGAAACCAGTAAACGACGCGAGTTCGAATCACACTCACGACCAATAACAGTCGCGAATATTTGAACCGGTCCTAGATCTCCCCTAGGTCGACTCGGTCTTAAATGAGTCCATGGTGCAGTGTGTAAACATCAGCACTGGGGAGACAAAAGTGTCCAGGAGGGGTGTTCGCCAACCACCCCCTCGTATGCCCTGTCGGCCTTCATAGCAGTTACTTGCTAACAACACTCGTCCCAAGAGTCTGTTAAAGGCTGTACGTGGAACCTTTGTCTTGCGTGGGTGGGACATTGAGTGAGCGCGTTGGTTGAACACTGCATGGATCAGACGAAACTGTCATTCTGGTCGACCGAATGGGGGAAGAGTCGTTAGGTCCCCCTACCCTTGCGTCAAATGTACGAGCGTGGGCTTGATGTAGGGGTGCGCACACACCTGACACGAGCCCCCCAAGTCACCCCGACCCCCACCGGCGGCCGTGCCATCTCTGCAGGGCGCACGGAGCCCCGGCTGGGGGGGCCCCACAGCTGCCCACGCGGCTTGGCACGCGCGCGCTCATCTCAAGGATCTGCGTGCGCCGCAGCGGAACGGCCGCAGCTGCTGTGTTCCCGGCAGCTTGGAAAGAAAACCTACTTTTAATTTTAGATATATTTAACATTTTCCACCAATTATGCCCGATTGTGCCTTTGGCTTGCTGAACGCACGGAGCGAGTGAAAAAAGGCCCCCACCCCCCGTTTCTGTTTCGCTCTGGATATTCCCCCAAACCGGCCCGACCGGCCAGCGTTGCGGGGGATCGATTAACCGGGGCTTAGCCCCACGTGCTTAGAGGGCGGCCCACGGTTCTCTTCACCTGCGCGGACGAGACAGCGGATCGGCTTGCCACGGAAATGTCACGCGTTTGCGTCAGCCTCTCCGGCTCCGCGCTCGACTGAATTAGCGGCCAATGAAACGTTGGAGGGCTAGGCTTTGTGGGCTTGGCAGCGGTGCAGAAAGGCGCAGGCCGAAAATACAACCGCGCCGAACTTAATAAATAACGCACGGCGCGGTGCCTCTTGCTCGCAATGACTGAACGGGGGATGCGGGAAGGGGCGGGAGGGGTCACAGATAAGTTAAATTTGCATAATGCGAATTGGCTCGCATTATATATGCTGGACCCTGCCATGGCGATGATGGAGAATTTCACCGCTTGCCCCAGCCTTTTGCTGGAGATGAGCAGTTGCACGCGTGGCCATCGGGCAATGTGGGCAAAGAGACGCTGTGTATTTTTTGACCACGGTAATTGTGCAACGAAGGGGTCGAGTTGCTGCCTCGCTTAAACAAAGTTGGTTTTCTGGTTTGGTTTGAGACGTGCATCACCTGTGCATTGCAACATTAACTTTGAGCTAAATCAATAAAAGTCCATTTACAAAGATGCCGTAGTGCCGGCTGCCCACTCCCCCGTCACGTGCCGTGCCAGCCCGGCCTTAATAGGTGCTCGCTAACAGCACTTGCCCCTGACAGCTTGGTGAAGGCTACATGGAGGGGGATCTTTGTCTTTGTTTGTCGCGTGAGCGCTTTGCGTCTGTGCCTTTACAGCGCTGCCGCCGCTGCCCCCGATGAGCGGAGGAGAGTCTGGCGAGGAGCAGACGGAGGCGAATTACTTCAACCTGCCCCCGGCCGTGTCCCTGCCCCCACCGCCCCCCTCATGGGCATGAGGCTGCCACCACCACCCGCAATGGGCTCCATGCCCCCGGTAAGGAGCCCCCCACGTGTCTATCGCTCGCTCAGCACGCTTGGGGGTGGGGGGGAGGCGATCGCGGCCTGGGCGTTGGTGACCGGGTCGGTGGTGTACGAGGACAGCTGACGAAGGAGGCGTTGGGTTGTGCTGTGAATGTGTTGTGTCTGCTGCTATTAGGCCATGTGATCGTGCTAGACTACATAGCGCTTACTAAACAACAGCCAGCATGAGCACTCGACCGCCCAGCACCGGAATCGCAGTATTACCGCGAGAACACCCAGCCCGATCACTCAGGGCCATAGCGTTCTTGGCGCGGGCCCTGGTGCTTCGCGCACAACATTCCCTCGGCGTTACCGTCTTGTCCTCTAACAGGTGCTCGCTAACAGCAGTTTTCCTGCCGTCCATGGCACTAAACGGGATCGTTGCCTCTGATATAAACTATGAAAATGCATTGGCTGCGAGGATCCCCTCGTGTGTTCCAGGCATGCCAGATGCCCACATGGTGCACTCACGCCATGGGTTATTTAATTGGCGCTGGGCGAGCTATGAATAGTGCCCATTAGTGGCGCGTCGCATGCCCGGGGGTCGGTGGTGGTGGTGACGGTGGCGGGCATGAGGACAGGGGGGAGCAGCCCACTTGGTCACCTAAGTGCACCCCCCCCACTCCATCTCTCTTACCGGATTCTGATTCCTGCCCGCAGACCCCCACCCTCCCCCATCGATTCGTCCCAGTTCGTAGACCTCAGTGTAAACACCGAGACGCGTTTGGTTCTTGAGTGAGGGAGACCGCTCATACGGTCGTTGCCCTACGTTGAGCCGCCAGCTGACAGACCGCTGTGGTCCATTCATTACTTTCAATGCAAAGATGCGTCGTTAGTTGTTCTTGTCATGTTATTTTATTGTTTTGCGTCGAACTAGACTCGTCCCTTACAGAGTGGGGTCTTCTCCTATAAGCACCTGGCAGTTAACCAGCATTCGTTTAAGTAAACCCAACTCCACCGATGTGGCACTGTCGAAAACCGGTCCAGAGCTGTATTCAACTACTCCTGCTTAAAAAATATCTATATGTATGTGGACTCCCAGAAGGCTGTGCAGCCAATGGGATGTCGAAAAAAACTTTTATTACTTTTGATGTGGGGAGACAAACATGGAAGGAGGCGAAATGGCCTGCTTGTGTTTACTTGGGTTTAAGACGGGAGACCGCTGAGATTCACTCGTGCGGTTGAGACGAGAGACCCGCAGCACTGTTAGTGTCCTCTCTTCTACCCCTTGAGAGACTCTTGACATCTGCCTTCTCTTTGGCAAGGGTCGGGAGGCTTCAAAAGAACCAAAGTTGTTAAGCAACATCCATTTTTAAACAATCCTTTAAAAGGTTTCTTATTTTGACACGCCACAATGACCTGCTTCTGCGAGCGGTGAAGCGCGGTGGTTAACGTAACGTAGACTCCTGCCGACTTGCAGGCCTGTGCCATTAGGGATCCCCTCGGCTTAATGAAGGCAGTACTCTTGAGACACGTTGATATGTGTCTAAGTATTCGAAACTAAAACTAAAGTGTGTGTTTTACTCTGTTTTACCAGGTAAGCCCCACTGAGCTATATGCCTCTTTGTTTAGAAGCGACCTGGCCACAAATGAGAGCTCAACGACGAAGTGGCTCATTGTGTGGAAATGTACAGCCGCCAAATACTCTGAATGCATGTTGATTCTAAATGTGAAGAGAAAAACCGGAGGACCCAGGGAAAAATCCACATAACCATTGGGAGATGCAAACTCGAACCCACGACCTCCTGCATATCAGGCGAGGGAGTTAACGTCTCGCCACCACAGCGCTCGAATTTGTTTATACCGGCCCCTTGTGCCGTGCCGGCCTTTAACCAGCGCTCGCATGACAGCTTTGTACAGCGGGTAAGTGAAGAATCTCCGTGTGTGTCCCGTGTGTTCCCAGGGTTCGGCCCTGGCGGATTCCTGCCTCCGATTCCTCCGCCGCTGTTCATGAGGGGCCCCGTGCCCATTCACTATCCCTCGCAGGACCCTCACCGCATGGGGCCCACACGGGCGGAGGGGGAAATCCCAGCAGTGACTGTCTCCACAAGATCAGCCGTCGTCGCCGCCTCCAAAATCTGCCCTCACAATATCCCGCCATTCGGCTTTCGGTGTTTGCTCTGGTCGGCAAACTCGTGGAGACCACTCCAATGCCTGTCCCGGCAATCGGCCCTCCCCGCCATCTTGCACACGCTCGCCTGCCCATATTCTCTTGGTGGACATACCTCGTATCTGTGTCTCGGAAATTTGTCCCCAATGCCAACAACTTCTTCACGATCTGCTTCGTAAGATGTCTCGGCAGCGACGCTGCAATGGAACGTCCAGTCAAAGTCTCCCCATCAGTTGTGCGCAATTTAGTCCTGTTTGCATTTTTAATGCAGTCTGTCAGCTGTTTTCCAAACTACCACTGCAAGTGTGGTTATTGATAAAATAACTTCAAGGGCTGCAAGTTTACTGACCATTCAGCTTATTCCTAACGGCACCGGTGTGTCAATAACTAAGAAAACTCCGGAAATGGATTATGCATAAAACTGAAGCTGGACTCGATGCACACAACTGGCACTCGTTCAATTTTGGAATAATTTGTGAAAGGTCTGCATCTCTCTTTTGAAGTGGGCGCTGACACAGCAATCGTCTGCATTGGTGGCCTTAAGCCAGTCGTGGATATTCCACATTCCTATGACAGGGCCTGTTTTTTTATTAGGACCGCGGGTTGCTTAACTATTTGGTCATACTTTACCACTGTTGACTTACCACAAAGTGATACATTCTGTTCTCCTCTAACGAGGAGAACACCGTGTTATGCAGAAATCGCATTATAATAAATGATATAGGGGTAAAGCACAGTCCGCGATAACACGTGATATGCGTTTGCAGATGTGTAGCGTCGAGAAGCATCCAGGATTCCTCGCGTGTGTGATGCTACGCCGAGGCAGCCGTACAACCACTTATTCCTACTCGCGCGGCGTAGTTCTGTTCACTCGATCGCGTTATATCCAATTCGCATCCCGCGTTATAAAAAAGTGGTCCCTTAATACATTCATCGCATTAAATCCAATTCACGTGATGTAAACACAATGCCTTATAGGAGACCAGACTGTTCTTATTTTATTCACCCCGCAGAAATGATGCGCCGTGTTGACCCCCGACTGGGCTTTGAACCTGCAGGCTTAATCTTGTGAGTGGAGCTCTCTCACCGCAGCGAGCGTGCGAGTGTATGCACAACCTGTGTTGGCTGTGGTGAAGCAGCGTTGCACTGCGCTACCACTCCCGCACCACCGTCCCATTGCTCATGCCGCAGCCCTTTTCTCTCCTCCGCTTGCGTTCACCGTTTTGATCGGAGTTGGCTACAGCTGCAGCTGTCTGCTTCGCTGCTTGCGTGGTCTCTGGCCAGTGCTGCTCTGCGGCCCAGGTAAACGTCACGCATGTTGCAGCAGCAGCAGCAGCATCAGCAGCAAGGGGCCCCATGTGACAGCAGGCAGGTCGTCGTTGCTGGGTGGCGTGCGATGGCGGCGGCTCGTGAAAACGCACGCTATATTGTAAAGCAAGTCAAAAAAGAGTTTGTAACGTGTTCGTTTAAACACGTATTTACGAAAATGTCTGGGTGTTTTTTTTTATTATTCGAAGCATATGTTCAATAGAGACCTTTACTTTATGCTGGCTTTGTAAGCTTGTGTCGGGATCTTCCAATATTGGGATAAAGCGCCTTAACTTTGTATTTGCGTTTAATGATTTTGTTCCGTTATCAAACCGGGCCACACGCCTGACAACAAGTGCGAGCGTTTTATCCGCACTCCACGACGTTGCTCGCTTGGCTCTGGATTCGTGCCGAGCCGCGCGTGCCAAGATTGTACGTACGGGTGAGCTTGCACGGCACTCGCCGATCTGCAGGGAACGTTGGTTGGCCACGTGGTTCAGGGTGATGCCCATTTCCCATGGAGAGACGCAGAGTCGGCACCACTGATATATCCTGGGTTTAATCCTAGTCGCAGGGCGTGTTCGGTGAAAGCCCACGAGTTTGTGATATTCCGAACGTTGGACATGGCTGGGAATCTTACTCTGGTCGCCCCAGTTCATTGTGCAGCGTGCTAACCACCGTTCCACCACGACACCGTAGCCTAATCCTTACCATAACAATAACAATAAACTTGGGTGAAACCAAATACGTCGCTTCTTCTCAATCTGATTTTGTGTTCCCCCATAACCAGATTAAAACTACTAACAGACGTCGCATTCCCGTAGTTTTTTTGTACGATGTAAGAACAGTTGACTGAATTGTATACGCGTTGGTGGAAAGGCAGTTTGTGCCAATATTTGACGGAAATGGCCAAATCCCGTTGATTTTTCTGTCCATTTGGTCTTTTTTTTATCCTCCAAAATCAATTGGCACAAACGCGTGGTTTTTGCCCACGGTGCGATTCAGGGCGGCCTAGCGTGAGCCAAGCTTGTTATGTGTCACGTTTGATTCAAAACACTTTTTTTTGTTTTTACATTGTCCCGCTCGCTCTGATTTTAGAACCTTACCGCGCGAAGTAGTTTTTTGTAACTGCGTGCGATGTCCCATCATTTTCCAGATTATTTTTCAGGTTCTCTTGGCGTCTTAGTAATAAACGACACCTTTCAAAATAAACGTGTCCTGACGGATCGTGTGCGCCACTTTGTTTACTACGTTTTGGCAGCGTAACACAACGCGGTGACATTTCTCGGCGTGGCACGCCGAGCACCGGTGGTAATGTTGCTCGCAGCCAGGCAAGAAACATTTTCGGGTCAAAACCTAATTTCCTTCCAGCAGAACCCCAACGTGCTTCTCTTGCAGTCAAACTTACTGCTTCCTCCTATCTCCCAACTCTCAAATGCAAAAGCACATTTGCGTGATTTTTTTTTTCAAGTTGCTCAACTCCTTGAGAAAGGTAAAGTGCATTCTGAAATCCTCAAAGGTAGATGTACGGAACGTTTGGATGATTTATTTTCATTATCATTCGCCGAATACGCGGATCTTATCCTTTTGTGATTGTGGCCTGATCAGTAAAAATAGATGCTTCACCCCGCCCCCCCCTGCTGTCAATGCTGTTCAGCTGCTAATAGATTTAAACGACCCCGTTGGCAATGCTGTAAACATACAGGTTGTAATTTTTTACAACCAGTTTTCATTCAGAAACGTTTCTTAATATGATAACACTGCACATGTTATTTGTTACTGATGTAATGGTATGTGTGTGTGTGTGGTCAGTGGTAGAGAAACATTTCCTAAACACTGCTTCTTCCCCTGGTGTGGGTTAGCCTCCAAGTCTTCGTTATTCTGTGTAGAACAGCGTATACACTGGACGTGTCATAGAAAGAAGGCTAATGGGGCTAATTCTTCAAGTCGGGGTTAATCACCATTTTTTTATTCCTTTAATTCAGCTCTGTTACCCAGAAAAGCCTCACCGTATTAACTTTATTTCGGGAGCGGTCCTGCCAAGTTTTTGCAGCGTGGCCCTACGATTGCTACATTACCCAATTAAGAAATTTGTGGGTAGCTTTTTTCTTCAAATTATGACCGTTCCGCCGGTCCACACTGGCTTGCACTTCTTAGAATGACACCGTGGGATCTTTAACGTCCGCCGTGAAGCAGAGAGTGCGCGCGTTTTATAGTTGCACCCGTTGGATATATTCCACGTTGCCACGTTGTGGGCAATCTTAAGACAACCGCTGCTGACTTAGCACCTAATTGAGAGAGATGAATGGAGTTTAAAATAATTAACAAACAAACATTTTGTGTAAGACCCAACCCAAAAGATCACTGGGTCCACCCTAAACCGCATCCTCAAACCATGGCAGATGTCGATACCTGATGCACAAATGGAAAATAAAAATCTCTAGTGTGCGACTGTGGTCATCATACAACATGTAACGACGCAATGCCCGATCCGCAAATACGAAGGAGACATCACAGCGATGATACTCCGCTGCTCCTGATGGGGTTATCTGGCTTGACCACCCGAATGTGAAATTGTAGTTGTTGCGCTGCATCTACATCAGCCATACGAAAGAAGAACATTGATCCGAGAGAAGTGATGGGCAGTGATGGTAGCTCGCGTCCCACTGAGCAATTCTAACCCAGCGGTGGCCAATACGTGGATCGCTTTCGACGGGTGGACGGCAAAATATTTTGCTGTGGATCTCAGGACAGGTCAAAACAAACGCTAACTTAAGCAGACACAATTTGCGTTAAGACTGATGGCAATGTGAAATCCCCGATAATGCATACATTATAAACTCATTTCTACCAATAGATGGCGTTAGTACGGTATGTCCTTGGTACAGGAAAACCTCGCCAAACGCGGTGTCTCGGCTCCACACAGTTTACCTAATGATGTCTTTTTCCGGAACATTGGGGGGGGGGGGGGGACGTTTCGGCCATACAGCTCGACGTTGCTAACACTTTTGCTAACATAGTTGTTAGGCCTACGAGAGGTGAGAGTGCTGCATCTGTTGGAAGGTCCTCTGGTGGGAATGAATGGACTGTGAGAACGATTTCTTTACCACGGTGATGCTTTACATGCGGCTCATGGTTCCATGAGCGTCTTCGAGGAAGAGGAATGTCAATAGTCCGAAGGTGATGATTGAAAAAGTGCCCAGAGCAGATTCAAAGGAAAGCAGTCATCCCGGGGGAAACACCCGCGTGTGTGTGTGGGGGGCGCTTACGACCGTGCAAATATTTCGGACGTTTTTTTTTTTAAATCCTTTATATTAAGTTCGCTTGCGCGCTTATGACCATGCAAATTTTTCGGTTGTTTTTAACCCACTTCCCGTGATCCAATCGAGCTGACATTTTCCACACAGACTCGTTGTGCGTGACAATTTTCGTGAAAATAATGTTGCAAAATTTTACACTTTTTAGGAAAAAAAAATTATATTTAATTACCAATTGCTTAATGCTGCCAGGCAATCATCTGACCCATAGGTGGCAGCCATCTCAAGCCAGAGGACGAGAGGACTCTGGCCGCCACGCATATAAAGGATTTATAGTGAAAAACTTTGTTTTTACGGGTTAATTTTATTGTTCTGCCTGGAAGAGCGAGGGTTATGGCTCCTCTACACCCACGGCAAGGGATATTCACCATATCTGTGTGCGCTCCACAACCCTCGCTGCTGCCTCCCACAGCGCTGGATCTTGCAGCGTAGCCACTCCGCCAGCCCGACAGTTTGCGGACGATGCGTTGGGTGTTGAGTGAGGGTGCGTTTACGATTGGGCAGTTCCACAAAACAGGCAAATTCGCAATAAAAATCAAACTCTCCCTCGTTAA